CTGCCCATCTCTTAAAGCTCTAAAAAATTTTAAAAATTATAATTCATAGAGTGAAGTAATTTGGGCTATAACAAACAGTTGCATACCGATCTCAAAAAAAAATTAATGTTAATGAACTGGAACAAAAAATCCGAATGTGATTCTGAAATGAATCATCCTCTTCGTCATAAAACAAATTCTGTCGGTTTTAACAATTTCTTATTCATTTAAAATTAAAGTGAATTGGATAGAAATTAAAAACATATGAAATTGATCTGTGCGTATTGAATTTCAATTCAAATAAGATGAAAATGTTCATATAATCCTTATAAAGTAAAAATGTTTTCCATTTTATCTAAAAACAATAATGTGGAAAAGTGATTTAATCAGAGCAGATGATTCTGTTTTAGGAACACATTGTGTATACGCAGACCATTTACTTTATATATTGATATGTTATTTATTAATATATGATGAAACAAATGATACATTATTAAAACAAACGATCATTTACTTACAGGCAGGGGCTTCTTAAGGCATGGGCCAGAGCCCAGGGCCTCGACTCAGCCTCAGTAAGATTATGATCGGAATGGTCAATAATCCCAAAACATAGTCTCCAAAAACTGGGTTCGAACTACATACATGTCATGTGATATGACATACATGCACAACACAAGCATTCTTTTTATTTCCTATACACACAGACATATAAAGATTGCAAAAAACTTACCAAGTTTTCCTGCAACCAGAGGTAATTTGTCAGGAGCATCATCGACGAACAAGGGATCCGGGCATAAATCCTGCAAGCAAAAATAGGACATTAATTCCTTTTTAAAACATTAGATATCCTCCCCTCCGAAATAAACTCCAATGGATGGAGCTTGTATTACTCTTCTAAATTCGCTTACGGATTGTTTCTAAAATTATTAAATTCTCAGTGAGACGTTATATAATAATCACAAATAATATTAACATCATTTGTTTAAGCCCTCACGTTGTCATAGAATCGAAGAGTTTGGAGAGTGGAGTGCCAGCTTATCGTTTGACATCATCAATAGCTCTCGTGTAACTTCAAAGTACAATGCTAAGAACTATTTATTTTTCGACACATTTTCCCATCCATCTCGCAAAACAGTTGACGAGTAAGTTGACTTGGTTTAAGTCAGTTTCAGTTTTATAATTAGTGTTGTTACAAATGTGTGCGTTTTGTATCACTAATATAGAATCTGTTAATAATTCAATGCTTTATTTCAAATCGTACATGCTTTCGAATGCGGATCAACGGACTCTTTCGAACCTGCAGTATGATGAATATATTAAGACATAATGACATACAATTTGGTTTGAAGCACAAGAGTTTTGAATTAAGTACTCTTGTCTCTTCATTTTTTTTTATTGCAATACATAACGATACTTGGCATCCAGAGAGTAATGACCTAAAAATTTATAAGCGTGACCCATAAAATGTTTTAAGAACTTGAAAAATGACCTAAACATGTTTTTAAATGACCTAAAAACAGTACTCACACACACACAATGCAAAGGTCTTAATTCAATATCAATACATAACAATCGCGCATATTAATTCCTCGCAGCGTTTATAGTTGAGCAAAGATTTACGTAAAGACAACTCATTTCAAGTTATCTTTCGATAAGAAAATTATTATATTATGTACTCTATTTTTTTAAAATTCAAAGCCTAAAAATTGTTAAGAATGAAATTTTAAAAAAATATTTTGGTGGAATTCTTTAAAAATAACATTTTATAATGAAGTTTTTTAAATGGAATAAAATAGCAAAAATTTAAAAAATATATACTCTTATTTCTTTAAGTAAAACAAGGACATGAGCAATTATGTTGACTGACGACGGTGCCTTAGAGATATTAAGTAGCTCTTGAACCCTTCCTTATGTAACAAACTACCATCAAAAATAAAATTGTTTCAATGTCATAAAATTCACATCTCACTCCAATGGATCTTGACTGACGTCATCCATTTGCATGATGTGAAAGTTTGAAAAGGAAGTACTATATCCGAAATATCCAAATAATTTTTTTTGGAGACGATGACTCATTTATAATTCTCTTAATAAAAGCGAAAGCAAATCAAAGATGTGTTGAAAGGTTACGAAGGAATTCCCAACACAAATTTATTCAACAGGCTCTAAGCTGGTAGGGGAATCCCATAGAAATGCAGGGTGTTGCGAGCTAGGGTTCAAAGAAGTAGAGACATCAATGAGACAGAAAACAAAGGCATTGAGAGGTTGTGTACTACAACAGATGTTCGAAAAAAATGCATGAACTGCTTCTTTTGGGTTCACACTTCTTTGGTTGTACGAGACGCTCGAATATCTGTTACTGCCGAGAGGATACGTGAATGCCAGGAATATTTCAAAACTTAAGGAACTACATGCAGTGTCACTGTCAGGCTTACCAGACCAACATCTGTCTACACCTCTTGTAGTACAAATTTCGAATAAAATGTTTTCTGTCCCATTAATGTGTTTCTCTCCCTTTTCTCTGCTTCTTTGTACCATAGCTCGTAACTGCGGCTCCACATTCCTGATTCTATGTGCTCCTACAACGCCTACCAGTTTGTCTCGGCATTCTGCCTCTATATTAACCACTTCGGTACTTACCAACTATCCCAACCGTGCCAATTTTAAAGATAATTGGGAATTAAAAGGATTTAGAAGAACCCGTTTTCTCAATCACTGAATCGGTAACCATGTGTTTCGTTTAATTTTTCTTCGATTGCTGCCATTCTAAGCCTAACCGTGCTTTGATATGGCATGCTCGAACTCGAAAATTTTTGAATCTCGGCTTTACCGCGAATAAAAAAAACTAAATAATAAAATAAATATTACTCCTACTAATACTACTACTAATAATAATAAATTAAATAATGAAAACTAGCTACTTTTCCTTTTAATGATTTTTATTTATAATTACTTATTATTTTTTACATGGTATTTTTCGACTACGTGCTCCATATTCCCGTCAGCGTATTCTCTTAAAATTCTTGCGGTTTTGTTCAATGTCTGTTTGGTAGTACCCAAACAAATTATACGAACCATCATCATCTTTAAAAACAAAAGTGGATTTTCGAAAATACTTCAATTACGTAATGCTGGTATAGAATAGTTGTACTGCAAGTATTGTTTAATTCGGAGAAAAGACGTTCTTCGAACAATTCGGCGAATGAGTGAGTGAGTGAATATTTACGTCGCACTGTTCAGCTACACGAGGGCTTTTGGCGACGGACCACGTCATTTTGAACCATGGTCAAGTGACGTGGACGACACTTGAGTTGGCACCCCCCTCTCCTAACTACCCCACCAAACCAACGGGAGGACGTTTGAGCTCTCGACAGATTTAACATGCATTGCTGCCCTACACGACAGGTCTTAAGTGATACTGGGCTCGAACTCATGACATGCCTGCCATGATACGATACCTTGACCACTGGGATACCTCAGCCCCACACAATTCGGAGAAATGAAAATTGCATGAAATTTATTAAAACATGATTTTGCATTATTGATGGCATTTTTCTATAGATACTAAGTTTTTACACTATCATTTATATGGGAAAACATTATAAATAACGGCACTTTATATCGATCGACCCACATTATACACCTTTGAACAAAAAAACAAAAAAAAAAAAAAAAGAGAGTAAAAGAGTGTTATGTAAGCACGTAAGAAGTTATACTTCTTTGAAGTAACAAGATTAAAATCTTTCTAAAAATCTTTAGCAGGGCAAGCTGGGTCAAGGGCGAAAGGCAGTCACAAGCAGAGTTGAAAGAGCCCCAAACCTGAGATAATCACGATTTAAATAAATTTAAACACCCTCGCACAGGGACAATAGGACCAATAACATGGGGGGTATCAGACTGTATCTGGAGATGAAGTGAGTCGAATGTGACATCTGAGACCTCATATTAAATGTCTCGGAGGGAAGAATCACGTTCCTGAGAAAATTAAGACATCCGCCTGAAGAACCCCGAGTTATGGTCATTTTAAAATAATTAAAACATCTAAAACAATTAAATAAAATAGAAGCAGGGCACCCAGCAACTCGAAACTGGGCCTGGATGTGAGCAAACACAAGAGGAATCAATTAAAATCGGAGTCTGTAGTTGCAAATGGGGCGGTGCTAGCTCGAGAAAGGAAAACGAAATTAACTCCCGGAGGGGGATAACTGTGACGTAAATCGTCACTTACATCCCAACGATACACAGAGTATAGTAGGTGATCCCAAAGTTTCATCCTTCTATTTCTGTAATATCGTTACTTCATCAAAAGATCGAACCCCATTGGAAAAACATGGGGATTCTAATTTTAGTGATA